TAAACGTATGTACGGAACGCCTTTGCATCCCCATATGAGTAAACAGGGCCCTTGCATGGGGCTGTAGTGCTTCCCATTTAAACAATGCCTGACTGTCTGCACTGCTCTGGTGAAACTGGGACTGGTGTGGCTAATGGTCAGGGACTCACGCTTGCTGCACTGGCATTCACTATCAGATCAGCCAGCTTCCCTGATGTCCGGCCACACCAGTCCTAGTGAAAAAAAAGAAAATGAAAAAAGATCAGTTCTGGACCAGTATGGTTTCATACTGGTCCAGAACTGATCTTTTCTTTTTTTTTTAAAAGCACATTGAATGTTTCCTACACTGCTGATCACTGTAGTAAACATTCAGTTATCTCTAACAGTGTAGCATGCAGCCCTTGCTTACAACTGTGATTGTTATGATTGGTCACAGCGATCACATGGTACAAGGCCAATTTCATTGGCCTTGTACCCAAACATGTGTTCTGCTGTGTTGGAAAGGACACAGCAACCACAGCATGTGTCCCTGAAAGCCCTAAAGGGTGCGAGTGATCAACAGAAGGATGTTTTAGTACGCACCTTCCCCCTCCCCCAATGCCAGAAAGCAGCCATCCAGACATTTAAATAAAGAGCTTGGACGGCAAGTGGTTAATGCACACTTTAAATTGAACCTGTGGCCAGACTACAGTTGCAAGAAAAAGTATGTGAACTCCTTGGGATTACGTGGAGTTTTGCATGAATTGGGCATAAAATGTGCTCTGAACGTCATCTAAGTCACAACAATAGAAGAACACAGTCTGCTGAACATAATACTACACAAACATTAGATGTTGCCATGGTTTAATTGCACATAACATGTAAACATTCACAGTGCAGGGAGGAAAAAGTATGTGAGGCCCTAGCTTAATGACTTCTCCCAGAGCTAATAGGAGTCAGGAGTGAGCCAACCTTGACTCCAATCAGTGTGATGATATTGGACACGTTGCTGTCAGCTGTCCTGCCCTTAAAAAACACACACCTGTTTTGGGTTTACTGGTTTCAAGAAGCACGTCTGATGTGAACCATGCCTCGCAAAAAAGAGCTCTCAGAAGACCTACGATCAAGAAATGTTGACTTGCATGAAGCTGGAAAGGGTTACAAAAGTATCTCCAAAAGCCTTGATGTTCATGTGTCCACGGTAAGACAGACTGTCTACAAATGGAAAAAGTTTAGCACTGTTGCTACTCTCCCTAGGCGTGGTCGTCCTGTAAAAATTACTGCAAGAGCACAGCGCAGAATGCTGCATGAGGTAAAGAAGAATCCCAGAGTGTCAGCTAAAGACCTACAGAAATCTCTGGCACATGCTAACATTTTTGTTGACACATCTACAATAAGGAAAACATTAAACAAGAATGGAGTACATGGGAGGACACCATGGAGGAAGCCATTGCTGTCCAAAAAGAATATTGCAGCACATTTGAAGTTTGCAAAAGAGCACCTGGATGTTCCACAGCACTACTGGCAAAATATACTGTGGACAGATGAAACCAAGATTGAGTTGTTTGGGAAGAACACACAACACTATGTGTGGAGAAAAAAAGGCACAGCACACCAACATCAAAACCTCATCCCCACTGTAAAACATGGCGGAGGGAGCATCATGGTTTTGGGCTGCTTTGCTGCCTCAGGGCCTGGACGGATTGTTGTCATTGATGGGAAAATTAATTCCAGAGTTTATCAAGACATTTTGCAGGAAAACGTACGACCATCTGTCCGCCAACTGAAGCTCCGCAGAGGATGGGTGATGCAACAGGACAATGACCCAAAGCATACAATTAATTCAACAAAACAATGGCTGCAACAGCACAGAATACGCCTTCTGGAGTGGCCCAGTCAGAGTCCTGACCTTAACCCGATTGAAATGCTGTGGCATGACTTTAAGAAAGCGATTCACACCAGACATCCCAAGAATATTGCTACACTGAGAGTTTTGTGAAGAGGAGTGGTCCAAAATTACTCCAGATCGTTGTGCAGGTCTGATCTGCAACTACAGGAAACGTTTGGTTGCAGTTATTGCTGCCAAAGGAGGGTCAACCAGTTATTAAGTCCAAAGGTTCACATACTTTTTCCTCCCTGCACTGTGAATGTTTACATGTTATGTGCAATTAAACCATGGCAACATCTAATGTTTGTGTAGTATTATGTTCAGCAGACTGTGTTCTTCTATTGTGACTTAGATGACGTTCAGAGCACATTTTATGCCCAATTCATGCAAAACTCCATGTAATCCCAAGGGGTTCACATACTTTTTCTTGCAACTGTACATTCATTCAGGTATTGAGCTTTAAAACAAGCCCATCCTGACCTCTGTACCTGCTCAGCCTGCTCCATCCTTTTTGGACTTTTAGGACTTGTTCACACCATGTGCAATAGATCCACACAGGTCACTGCAAGAGTACATACAAAACAATCATTTTCTGTGTGCCTTGTTCACACTACCATGTTGTGTACATGTGTGTTGTGTTAAAATGCATTGTCTGCATTTTAACACAATGCATATGAACGCATGCAAAAATAGAGAGAAGAACTTTTTACTGATGTATGTGCAATGTGTTTCAGGGCAATTACTCAAAAGTGTGACTGACAAGGCAGGGCAATTTTTATTTTCAGGCTGCAGACAGTAAAAGCAAGCCATGTCATTCTCTCATGACTTGTATACTGTGTGATAATGTGATAATGATGAACACTGGGAATCGGTACATATTATAAACATTAGGTACATTACAGTTATATCATATTTCAGTGTTCTAAAAATAGCACTGCATACTACAATACCCTAAATTTTCCCTAGGATATATTGAAATTAAACTTTAAAAAATGTCTTTCACCTTGCAAAAGTGTTCTAAAGAATGCAAATTAAGAAGGTGGTACTCAAGTAGTAAAATACTGTAGGTACCTGCTAGCAAGAAGGTTGCATGCACACACTTCTTGTACCTGTGATTGGAATAAAAACCTGACAGTTTGCTACACTTGTCACGCCACTCTATGTAAAACTTAACACAATGACTAGAGTTTAAGCCTAAAATGTTTAGTAAATTCTAGACCTATGAATAAACAATATCACAAATTGCATTTTAATGGAGGGTGTAATAAAAGTACCGTGCAAGGGTGACAGATGTTCATTCTTCGTATTTGAACTACAAGCTATATTCTACTCTGCAAGCACAGAAGAAACAGGAATTTCATTCCATTACATGGGCTCATCAAATGTTTTTCTTCTGTACAAATTAAAATGTTTTCTGCTTATTTCCTGGGGGAATGCAGAGTTGAACCACTCTATTTCATTTCATTGTAGGTATGTCTGCATCTAATATACACGTACCACGAGAGAAGTCACACAACAATAAAATATCTGCTTACCGAAACAAGGAACTCTTTGATTTTATGCCCTTTAGTAAGTGCATCCACAGTCTTTTCATTTGAAAGCTTTGTGAAAAATGTCAGCATGTTTTTGCTTTTCTGTGTAAGCAAAGCAGCCCATATTGCACGAGATATCAAAGTGTTATCTTCAGTCATCTTGGAGGTTGGATTGTTTAGGATACCAAGTCGAGCAATGCTACTCTTTTTCTAAAAGATGAAAAAAAAAACATATTAATGCAAATTTTTAGCAAACACCAATGTTCCCCAATTTATTTTAAACTAAAACAAACCTATAGGGTATTTTCAGAGAGTACATATCTTAAGTTAACTTAAGCAACAATCACCTGAATGTGAAATTTTAAGTAACAGAAAATTGTGAGTCCACAAAATATAAAAAATGGAGACATTGTCAAGACATTCAATTGTTGATGTTTGACCCAGCATTATAATGGTTTTACATGGATGGATGGATTTGTAAGTTCTCCCTCTACAGTCGTTGCCAAACAGTTGCTGAGATAAACCAAATAAGACTAACTACCTAGGTCTAACTCACAGAGTTCCTTAAGAAGCACATTTATTTTTTCTCTCCCTCTTCTTTTTTGCTCCGATCGCTATCAGGATACCTCTAATATAGGCTTTATGAGCCTCCCACACCGTTTCCACAGACACCTCCCCAGAATCATTTACCTCAAAAAACTGCTCTATTTCTTTTTTTAATCTTTGGTCTGTCTCTTGATCCTGGAGAAGTGTCTCGTTTAACCTCCATAATTTTCCCCTATTCTGCTCATTTCCCCATAATAATTTCATTGTGACCGGAGCATGATCCGATATTGATATCTCTTCTATTTTTACTTTGACCAGAGACTCAATAAGTCGATGGTCCAAAAATATATAATCTAATCTTGAGTACATCTCCTGTGCATGAGAATAAAACGTATAGTCTCTGTGCTTCATATGCTTAATTCTCCATATATCTACAAGTTGACATTGGTATAACATCCTTTTTAAAGATCTCAGAGACCTACTGCCATCTCCCTGCACATGTGACGTCATATCTATCTGAGAATCCATGCAAAGATTAGAATCTCCCGCCACAATTAAACTACCTTTCTCGAAATACAATAATTTCCTCTTTTTTTTTTTAGGAACTCCTCTGGTTTCTTATTCGGGCAATAGATATTTGCTAATGTGCACTCCCTATCCTGTAATTTCCCCTTCAAAACAGAAATCTCCCTTCCGGATCTACTAATCTGTCTTCCAACTTAAACTTGATATTTTTCGCAAAACCTATTGCCACTCCCTTGGTTCGTTTGATTGGGGAATCTGCATAGAACCATATTGGATAATATCTGGAATTTAGGTTCACATTTGCTTCCCGTTCTAAATGTGTCTCCTGTAAAAAAACCACTGAAGAAAATCTGTGCTGAATTTCTTTGAAAATCCTAAATTTCTTCCCAAAGCTATTTAATCCTTTAACATCATAAGTCACAAAATTAATTTCTTCCATTCTACCCTTCTCCTCTCCTCTATCTTCCCCCTTCTCCTCTCTCCTCCATATCTTCCCCTTCGTTTTCTAGGTTTTCTCCGACATATGCATCTCTTACTATTTCGCAGAGTCTTAAACTACCTAACCCCCCCATACCCTGTCATGCCCTGTCATGAGTGGGAGGCTCATACCCTGTCATGCTGACAGCTCGTGAGGAGAGGAGAGCCGGTAATCGGCATTCCTCGGAGAGGACATGTACAGAGATCATCAGAGCACTGATGATCAGTGGTCCCTGATGATCTGTGTAGCCCCAGCAGCGCCACCTGTCAGTGTCCATCAGTGCCAGCTCTCAGTGCTCATCCATTCCACCTGCTAGTGCCCATCAGTGCCACATTTCAGTGCCCATCAATCCACGTATCAGTGCCACATTTCAGTGCCCATCAATGCCACATATCAGTGCCCATCTGAGCTGCCTTTCAGTGTCGCCCATCAGTGCCAGTCAGTGCCACCTATCAATGCCAGTCAGTGCCGCCCATCAGTGCCGCCCATCAGTGCCAGTCAGTGCCGCCCATCAGTGCCAGTCAGTGCCGCCTAACAGTGCCAGTCAGTGCCCATCAGTGATGCCTGTCAATGCCCATCAGTGCCACCTATCAGTGTCCATCAGTGCAGCCTCATTGGTGCACATCAGTGGAGAAAAATCACTTATTTACAAACTTTTATAACAAAAACTAAGTAAAAAAAGGTTTTTTTTTTTTCCAAAATTTTCAGTGGTTTTTGGTTTAAGAAAAAATTAAAAACCCAGAGGTCATTAAATACCACAAAAAAAAAATCTGTCGCAAAAAATGATAAAAATGTCATATGGGTACAGTGTTGCATGACCGCGCAATTGTCAAAGTGCAACAGGGCTGAAAGCTGGAAATTGGCCTGGGCAGGAAGGGGGTATAAGTGCCCTGTAGGCTAGTGGTTAAATTGCTTCTTCTAAGCCTATTTTCCTGATCTTCAAATTTATATAGCAGATTTCTATGTTCTTTTTTCATTTCTACCATTTGTTTTCCTATGGACTGAATCACTTGGGCATGTTTGTTTATTTTTTCTTCCATCTCCTCTACTCTAGATAGCACCTGCCCCAGGTCTTTATGTAACTTCGGCCTTGCCCGTTTTATAGATTTTTCCAAACCTTTAAACATTCCTGGTATTTCTGATTTAGTTGGCAGATGTGTGTCCTGCTCTTCTAAGATCTCCTGCGGACTTATTTTCTCTATGTCTGCTTCTTCTAAATATTGGCTTATATTAGGTAGTCCCAAGGATAATCTGGAGCTTTTTCCAATACTGTTTTCCATCAAACACTTTTCATTTATTCCAATTTACCTCTCTGTTTTTCCTGCTCTGGAATATACTTTTTAATTGAACTGGATTGAAGGGCTTTTGACCCACCTCCTTTTGTTGCCTTGTTTTTAATTTATATCTGATATCTTAGGTATTCAGATATCCACTCCTCCAACAAAATATTTTCCCCTCTCTTCCTTCTTCTCCTCTCCTTCCCCTCCTCTCTTATATCCTCCTCTCCTCCTTTCTTCCATCTCCCTCTTTCCCCCTTCAGGAACTCAAGTTTTTTTCAATCGTCTCTCTTTTATTTAACCTTCATCCGTTTGTGTCCAAGACCCTCAGTAGTCACCATAATGACCCCCTAAGTGCAACCCCCACAATCTTGTCTATCAATATTTTACTTCCAACACAGTAACTTTTATAGAGCATACACAAACAGAGTAACAAAAGAGATTATGCAGAGGGTAATAAACAAAAGAGAAGAATTAAATAATTTTCTGGAAGAAGATAAGAGTGTTTAATAAAATGATATGTGAGAGATATAGATGGGGAGATAGGCCAGGAAAATATTTAATGAGGGCTCAGAGAAAAAAAAAAATCCAGGAATTATATAGAGAAAATAAGAGACAACAAAGGTGAATTAGTGTACTAAAGATATAGCTAAAGTGTTTAAAGAATACTAAAATAAGCTATATAATATTATTCCCCATAGCTCTATAAATAAAGATGATGTAGGAAAAATTGAAAAAAGACAGACATATTTAAAAGAAGTGGGACTACTGAAATTGAGTGAGGAACAATTAAAATCTTTGGAATCAGCAATAACGCAGGAAGAAATATATTTAGCATTAAAAAGTACTATAGCTGGGGAAAGTCCTGGACCTGATGGGTATACAGTGAGATATTATAAAAAATATATAAAGAACTATTAGTACCCAAATTGAAGACAAATATGAATACATTGGGAGGAGAGATGGAAATGAGGAGGGAATCTTTACAAGCCCATGTAGTTCTCATACATAAGGAAGGTAAGGATGATACTCACTGTGCAAGTTATAAACTGATTTCCTTGTTAAACACAGATACCAAACTATATGCAAAAGTTCTGGGCAAATAGGTTGAAAGACCTGATGTCGGAATGGATATATGTGGACCAGGTGGGCTTTGTCCCAGGAAGAGATAACGGATTAAGATCTTTGTTTCTCATACAAAAAGTAGGAAAGAGAAAATCCCAGCGGTGGTACTCTCGATAGAAGCTGAAAAGGCATTTTATAGAGTATATTGGGGTTATATGTTGGATACATTGGAAGTATTTGGGATGGGACCCAGAATGAGAGAATGGATAAGGAAATTCTACAGTCAACCCTCTGCAGCAATCATGGTTAATGGGTAATTATCAGAGTACTTTGGGATGCAAAATGGAACAGGACAGGGATGTTCTTTGTCTCCACTGTATCTTTGTAATCTCTGCTGGCTACAATAAGGAATAATATAGATATAAAAAGGTATTAGGATAGGAGATATAGAGCATAAGGTGGCAGCTTATGCAGATGATATGTTGTTCTATGTGGCAAATCCAAGGATAACATTGCCAATTTTAATGAAATCACTGAAGGAATATGGGGAGATGTCAAATTTAAAAATTAATCATACTAAAAAACAGAGATTTAAAATATAAATCTTCTAAATAGAGAGAAAAATATGTTGCAGGAAGAATTTCCTTTTGTATGGAGAGAAAGAATTAAAATATGTAGGTATAAAATTAACGGTATCTTCCAAGAATTTATATAGATCAAATTATATCCCATTATTAAATGAGATTAATGATGAATTAAGAAAACTAGGTGGGGAAACTCTGTCATGGATAGGTTGTATAAATCTGATAAAAATGGTATTTGTTCCAAAAATTCTATATAAATTCCTAATGATACCAATTAAACTACCTGAAATATATTTTAGAATAATTAAAAAAAATGTTAAGATTTATTTGGAGGAATAAAAAACCTAGAATAAGTCATGAAATCTTAAGCAGAAATAAAGAGAAAGGTGGACTGGGAATTCCAGACTTGAAAAGATACTATAATTCAGTAATACTGACAAGAATGTTTGATTGGACACATAATGCACATGGGAAAAGTTGGGTAAAAATAGAAAATACACTAAGTCACACTAACCTTAGTAGAATTGTATGGTTACCTCCACAATTCCGAGGATTAGCAGATAGCACAAGTTATTTTACACTTAATGTGTTAAGAGTATGGGATGTTTTACATAAACAAAAGGGGTGGGGATATAACTCACTGTTAATGCCCTTAGGGCCCACAGAGTTTTTTCCTCCAGGTAAAGAAAGTGTCACTGGGAAGTGGATAAAGAAGATGTATGGTTGAGAGATGTAATGGTGGGGGAGGAAATAGGCTCACTTAAGCATTTGGAAAAAAAGACGGAAATATTTACGACAATTGATGATTGGCGTTAATTTTCAGTTGAAACACTTTATAGGGAAGCTTCCAAGGCCATTGAGAACAAGAGAGGATTGGAACCCTTTTGAGTACTTATTAGACACACGGGGAGATGGGAAACATGAGATTTCTAAAATATATAAGATTCTCACTGGAATAACCACGGTTATAAGGCCATCATTTATAGAGAAATGGGAAAGGGATATAGGAGTAACAATGGCTGTGGAAAAGCAAAAGAAAATATATAGTTTAATTCACGAGAATGTAAATATGAAGGAGGTAGAGATGAATTATAAATGTTTGGCAAGATGGCATATTACACCGAGTGTAGCACATAGATCGAATGGAGATAATTCAGCTTTGTGTTGGCGTGGATGTGGGGGTAGAGGTACAATGTATCACATTTGGTGGGAGTGTGTCAGGGATCGTGGAGGCACACGGGTCTGCTCATTCGCACAACGCCGATGTGCATTACACGGCGGGCACTAGGGCATAGGCAACTGTGGCAACAGTGATTGCCGCGCATGCGCACTCGCGATTGCCGATGCGCACCTGGCACCAATGATAGCACAGGGCGGACTATTTAAACAAGCCCTGTGCATCCCCAAATTGCCGTATGGTCTTATTCCTGTGTTCCTGCTCGTTTCTGTACTGTGATTGCCTTGTTGCCGACCCAGCCTGTCCCTGATCCTGTTGACCGTCTCCTGCTTTGACCTTTGGCTCGTTTTGACTATTCTCTGCCTGATCCTGATTGCCTGACCTCCTGTTGCTGAATCTGGCCTGTGACCCATTTATCCTTTTGCCTCAGCTGTTACCGACCTGGCCTGTCTGACTACGCTACGTAGTCAGACAGGCTCTACGTAGTCTTCACATCTGGCTCTCACCTGCCACTGGCAACTACCTCTAGCACAGCTGGTTGTACTCAGGGCCACGACCTGGTCTCAGGCTGCTTCAAGTTCATCCCCACCATCAGGGGCTCTGGTGAAACAGCAGACTGAGGCTTAGACTCCATGCCCTGAGGAATTCCGGCCTGTGGGTCGCTAGAGGCTACCGCCAGCCGGCTCCTGACAGAACCATGTGGCCATGACTGAGCCGGGAAGAGGTCCCGCCCCCTTGGATGAGATATGCCAACACCTGGCGGCGCTCACTCAAGCTGTCAAGACACTTCAAGAGGGGTACACACATCTGGAGGGACGTATTCAGACCCTAACCACACCGACAGCCACACCATCAACCCCTGCTAATTCGCCTCCTGCCCGGGGCCCCACAGAACCTTCCGCTGGAGCAATGTTCATCATTCCCCTGCCAGAACCTCGAGTGCCAACGCCCGAGCGTTTTAATGGGGATCGAGGGAAGTTCAGGGCCTTCCAGAATTCCTGCCTGTTATATTTTGACGTACAGCCACGGACGTTTTCTTCAGAATCTGTAAAAGTGGGGTTCGTCATATCCTTACTGCAGGGGGAACCCCAAGGCTGGGCCCATCGTCTGATGGAAGATCGCCATTTGCACCTAGACTCAGTCTCCTCATTTTTTAAGGTGATGGCACAACTATATGATGACCCACAACGAGCCGCTTCTGCTGAGACGGCTCTGCATACCCTGCAACAAGGCTGCCGGGCCACGGAGGATTATGCATCTGAATTCAGGCGCTGGAGTGGGGACACCCAGTGGGACGCTGCCCTGTGTCACCAATTTCGTCTAGGCCTGTCCGATCCACTTAAGGAAGAACTAGCCAGAGTGGGCATACCAGACTCTCTGGAGGATTTGATCACCTTGGTCATTCAAATCGACCGCAGGCTGCAGGAACGTAGGCAAGAAAGGGCCAATCCTAGCTCCAGACCAACATGGGTGCTACC